AATATTGATACTCTAGACTATGTATAAAAAGGATGCTTAAAACGCTATGAAAATACCCAATACCTAAATGCTAAATATGAAAGAGCTACAAATTAAAGGCATCCTTAAACAAATACGTTTTTGGATTCTTTTTAAAAATAGCTAAATTTTTAACGGAGATTAAAATCAAGCAGCCACAGGCTCTGAGTCCCATGCCATGGAGACTATAAAAAGATGCTGGAATTTTCGATTTTTACATCCGTTTTTTCTTAACGAAATTTCTTTTCGAGAGTATATGAATCGTTCTTGGGTATATTGTATAGCATTGTGGCGGATGTGATGAGAATTGAAGAAATAAAAAAATCTAACTCTGAATTTCTAGAGCCTCGCTTATTAGATAATGATTCAAGTGTTTGGTACGAAGACATGACGGTTCATAAGAGTATTGAAACCAAAGTACTTGTGATAATTGCAGAATCCAAGGCCATAAGAAACCAATGCTTTACATGAGGTAATACTACATTAATTATTTAAAATTTGCAACAAGATTTTATGCAAGCGCTCGGAATAACCTTTGTAGCAGACGAATACAATAATGACGGTGCTGTACCTTAGGAAGCCTAGAAAATTCGACAAAATAAAACCCAAAAAAAAAAACAAAACAAAAAAAACCCAACAAACCAAACAAAATCAAAAAACAAAACAAAACAAAAACCAAATATCAAATAAATACACAAATTTACTTGTCCAAGTTCTTGCCCATTGTCTTATTAAAGAATTTGTCTGGCAAATGTTCAAGAAACCTTGAATATTTTGGCGATAAAGACAAGCGCGCTAATTAAAAAATCCATTTATAAAAAAAACAAAAAGCAATTGTAATTGTCAATAAAATAGAATACTGATATATATTTTTTTGCTTTTAGATAAAAAGATTTTATGCTCAAGAAAAAGTGAAAGCTTAAAAGAAAAAATTATCGTTTCTCGATATTTGGATATAATTACGTTCTTTTTCAAAACTAAGTTCTTTTAAACCTTACAAATTAAAGAAATTCATTCGACGTCCATCATATATCCATAATAACCATACTTTTAATAATAATTTCTAATTGTCGCCTCTTTGATTAAAAAAAAAATTATAATAAATAATAATAATGATAATTAATAATAGTTGAAAAGACTAAAAGTAGTTTGGGAACCGCATTAAACAGAAACCAGTTTTGCAGCATGGTGAAATTAAAAGCTGTCCAAATGCTCTTTCAGATAGATCCAGGTACATTTTATTAGTTTAAGTAAACTTGGAGCTAAAAATAATCTTATTGAAATTGTCATAAATCATGGGCACGAATTTGGCGGCGCTGACAACCAATCAATGATACAATAGCATATATCCGGCTCTTGGCACTGGCAAATATAAATAACGCTATGCATAGCTAGAACTGCTGCGTTATACGTTGACCACGCTTGTCGAATAACGACGCTCGCTCTTCGGACTCAAAGAAAGTCGAGACAATTTTTTTTGTCTTTTTATACTCGAATGTTTTTATCGGGCATCGACCAGTGAAATCCTTGGACGCGTTTGTGGAACTATATCTGGATTTAAAGATGCTGGATAATTTTACGAATTCAAGCAAACTACAGCGAGGCACAGATGTGCAGTATTCTAGACAACAGCTCCATACGTATAGGGATGGCCTAATCCTACTCGTTCTCTGTCTACTTGAATCCTTTTTGATCCTCCTTGCTAACACTACCGTGTTCGTGCTAATTATCAAGCACAAAAAACTACGGCGAAAGAACAATTACTGCTTAATCAGCCTGGCGATTTCCGACTTTCTCACTGGTTTGGTGGCTCTTCCTCTAGTGATAGCTTGTCAATATGACATGAACGCATGTACGCCCATGGATCTATCCCAGCGCTTCTTGTCTTTCTCGACGATTCTTCACCTTCTGGTAGCGACAAGCGAGCGTTACTTTAAGATTCGCTATCCTTTGCGATACAAATACTACGTGACCGGAGCACGGATTGGTCTGATTCTTGTTGCTGTTTGGGCAATGTCACTTGCCTTCTCCTTGATCCAACTTACATGGATTAATCACACAGAAGAAGAGAGGTATTACGATTTTATTTTCTCCACCTCTTGCGTCGTTGCGTTCGCGTTTTTGCCATTCGTCATCACGGTCGCCGCGAATGTGCATGTGCTATGGATAATCCACAAGGAGAAAGAGATTCGCTACCGAATGGTTCAACACGAGCGAAGTCCCCAGTGTAGGAAGGGAAGCAAGAGAAGATCAAACGAGAGAAAAGCCGTTCTGGTGTATTTGGCGATGACAGTTAGTTTCATGGTTGGGTTTCTGCCCTATTTCATCCTGACATTCATGGCCGACATGCAAGAAGATGTTGGATTTGGGGTTAGTTTGTTTTTCTTGATTCTCAGATTCACCGCCCCCCTTGTTGACCCTTTGCTCTATACCTTCTTCAAGACGGATTTCAAGAGCGCCTTCATAGATATGGTTGGTAAGCCTCTACCATCGACTGAACGGACAGTCCAAACAAGGGTGTAATATGTGAGAGACTGAGAGGTACCCTTTGCTCTATACCTTCTTATAAAGACTGATATCAAGAGGGTCTAGATATGGGCAGTAAGACTGTAATATCCGAGAGAATTGTTCTATAGTTGCCAAAGCAAGAGTCTGCTTCTAAATGAAAGCCCATTTCAAGAGCGCCTCATAGTCAATACTGAACCACTATACTAACGCCTGCAAGAACTGTTCGGCCAAGCTGGGGTATAATATCTACTGACACCGGAAGAGTAGGTCCGTGGGAATTGTTCTTTGTAAACCCATTGTAGAGTGAAGTCATTAAACCCGTGAAATAGATATTACACTAACACACTTTAGTAGACCTTAATTACATTGTTTTCTTTTGTGTTTATTTGACTATTACATGTTGACTAATAATTTTTATTTCACGGGTTAAATACCCTCGCTCTAAGACTTATGATCGCTAACTATTACTATCCTATGCACGGACAGTACAAAAAGGTTGAATATCTGGGAAATGTGGTATCGAAGTGAGAAAAGTTAGTGGTGATAATAATAAATGATAAACTTTATTTCTATAGCGCAATTATCCTATGCTCAAGGCGTTTAAAGTGATGATACCACCTTGGTTGTTAAAAGAAAGAAAGAAAGAAAGGAAGAAAGGAAGAAAGGAAGAAAGGAAGAAAG